TTGGATCTACTGTAGTTAGAGATAAATTACTTGTAATTTTGAATAACTTGATCCCAAATAAACAAGGGCAGGACAGCCGAATTAAAAAAAAAAAAAAAAGTAAAAAACAGGTTCTTATTGTTTTTTTTTGCCTAAAAATAAGCAAACCAAAAAACAAATTTCAGTATTTGTCATTAAATATTATTTTGATTTTATACTTAAGTTGAAAAAAATTTTGAATAGGCTAAGTTTACTCTCAAATACCTCAATCAATAGGTTAAAAAATATTAGAAAATAAAATTTATTTAGCAGAAAATATTTAAAATTGATTAAGCATCATTATGATGAATATGCATAATTTGATAAAGTTTATTAAGTAAACAAACCATTTTTATTAGTAAAAAAAATTAATTGATAATCCACCTATCAACTGAAAAATAGGTGGAATAAGACGTCTGTTATATAAAACTTTTTTTTTTTACTAAGTTAATGATATATGCTTACTAATTAAAAGTTGTAAAGCTTGTTGAAACATATTTAACGGTAGTTAGAACATCCAAATCAGCCTAGTGGATGGTAAGATATCATTGAAAAATGATTGGCTAACTATATAAAATCTTGTTTATTGTTGACCAATCATTTTTCGACAATATCTTACTATCCACTAGGCTGATTTGAATGATCTAACCATTGTTAGATATGTCTTGACGAGCTCTATAACTTTTATTTAATAGGCATGTGTTGTTAACTTAGTAAGAAAAAAGTTTTAAATGAAAACACACCACATTTCACCAATAATGATTTTCATATGTAATTTCTGTCACAAATTTTTATATAGTCAGCCAATCGTATTTCAATGATATTTCGCCATCTACTAGGCTGATTTGGATGATCTAACTACCATTAGATGCATCTTGATGAGCTTTACTTCTTTTAATTAGTAAGTATGTATTGTTAACTTAGTAAGAAAAAGGTTTTATATAACAGATATCTCATTTTGCCTATTCTCTAGTTGATAGGTGGATTATCAATTAAATAGGTTTTTATTTCAAATCACCTTTTTTTATATCTGCTTTAGAAAATTCTACAATCAATAGAATATTCAAAGAGATTGCTCAAACAACTTGCAATGGGTCATCATTTTTGATATCAGCAAATTATTATTTTACTTTTGCATTAAAAATTTTTATAATAAATAAAAAAAAAATCAGAAAGCTCAAGAAACAATAATGAATATTTATCATCTTTTAACTTTCGCTCAAATGACAACAAATTCAACTATTCCATCGATAATTTCTTCATTTGATGCGCTAACCCAACAGCAATAAAGACCTAAAACTGGTGAATTCTGGATTAATGTTTTTTCACTTTCTGTTGAATAGATACTTTTGTTTTTATTTTTTATTTTTTATTTTTTTGACGATGACATTTGACAAATAATAAAGAGACTGCTCAAGTATTGACTGCAATGTTTGCTTTGATTGACTGTAATAAATGAGCACTAGTACAATCATTCACTAATCTCATCAAAAATGATGCTTGAGAAGATTTTAATTACGTCATAAATGGCATATTCGAATTTTCAGTAAAAATTTTATGTAAATATCTTATGCTTGTGCACTATTATATCACTTGCTGACCACATTGAAATTTGATGCTTGAGAACGACCTAAATTTTCATACCAAATTTTAGCATTCTCATTTCATTTTCATACAAGTTCTTAAAATAAATAAACCAGAAACTATCATAAATATTAAATGTCATAGATAATACTGAAACTCAATGTTGCTAAAATTTGGCGTTTCAGTTTGCCTTACCAAAATCTTAGAGATCGTACTCGGTTAACCTTTTTAACTGAAAGGTTATAACCTTTAGCAAAATCTAATAACCAGTTTTATACCCTAATGAAATAAAAAGATAACGGTTATATCCGGATAAAAAAGATATTCTTGTGATCGGAAAATCAATACATGTCTATTGGCCAATCATTACCACAACGAAGTTTTACAATTAAACTTCCATTATACTTTCGTTATACTTTTTCATATACATTTTAATAGTTTATGCATAGTTTATTATTGTAAAGCATATCTTAATTAGACTTTAAATAGTATATAGCCTATTTGTAGTCTAATAGTAACTATATAAATAGGGTTTATAGAACACTGGGTAGTTAGTCTTTAGTTAGTTTGGATAGTTAGAGAGGAGGTCTCTCTTAGAAGGTTATTAGTTTTTAGTATGTTGAGAACATGCTAAGTTGGTTAGTTGGATAAGGATATTAGTTCTGTTAGTATCTGGGACACATTGGTATATTATGTTCTGGTGCCTTTGTGTGTTAATAAAATATTCAGTTCATTTCTGTTAATGCTTACGACTCTTTGCTAAATTGGCTAAGTGGATCCAAAGTCTTGTAACAATATGCATTTAAATAATCAATTTATTATAATTCTAGATTTATGACTAAATAATCAAAGTAAGTAGTAAGACTATTTATCAATAAAATGCTTCTTTAAGATTAAAATTTATACTAAACATTTATGCGTCTACAAATAATATATAAGAAATAATAAAGTATAAATATTTTAAGCGAAATTGATCAGAAATGAGATTCTTTCACACAATGAATATTAAAACTATAAATGGCTTTGACTGTAATTTTTTTTATTAATAGAATGTTATATTTTCAAAATTTACAAAACATATAAATAAGTTACTAGAATCGGGTTATCTGATTTTGATACCATAATTATTATTTGATCAAAAATATGCTTGCTAATATGCAATAACTAGTATAAATAAACAAGTTTAGTCATGTACTAAATATTAATTAAAATTACATTTATGTTGTAAAATTGTGTTACTAGTTTAAATGCTAATAATGTCCATGCTATTAATCAAATAGTTTTATATTAATTTAGTTATTGAGTCACAATTCTATATTATATAGTGAGTACTTTGTTAATTTAATGTTATAGAATTGATCAAATGGGCTAGGTGCTACAGAAAGAGAGGAAATTGACAAATTTATTAAAATTAATTTTTTTGTATAAATTAATTTAAAATAAGATCAAGATCATTTTTCATTTAAGACACAAAAGTAGTTGTATTAATAAATTTTTGCAGTGTAGCTCTTTAAATTTTGCAATTTCTTATGATTTATTATAAAATTTATAACATAAAAATTGACTTTCTGAAGATCTTTTTTTTTGTTGATTTCCCCCTTTTCTGTAGCACTCAGCCCAAATGATCTTTGCACTATTATAGCCTTTAAGCCATGATTGTATAAAACCAACCTTGCTTTAGTGATTACTCACTTATTCTTAGAACATATAATTGCATATCGAAAATGTGTATAAGATTGGTAACATAGACAAAATTTTAAAATTCGTTAAGGTTGGGGTTAGGGTCAGAGCTAAGATCCAGAGAAGAGTAGTTTATATGGCATAATTGTCTAACAAAAACTTTTTATTAGACAAAAGATGTTTTCTTATGCTAATTTTTGAACATGAGCGATTTTTGGTAGAACGAACAATTGTTTTGAATCTTATAATCTGTTTGTAGTTCAAGAGAGCTGCGTTGCCAACCTTGTACAAATTTTCTGTATGCCATAGTATTTGTTAGCAAAACTAATAAAAGCATATTTATTCAAATAAATTAACTTATCTATTTAATTCTTGCCATTAAGTTTTTATAATCAATATTAGTTCTATAGCAAAGGTTTGTATTCAAGATATATTATATATGTAAAAATTGAGAAATAACTAGATTAAAGAAAAGAGTTAGTGATATATAAAGAATATAATAATACTTATTGTTTAGAGTTAGTGTATGTATCAAGCTTGAGGGTTTCATAATCACATACCATAATCACAATTATTGGTCATATCACAAGTTATTAGTTATTGAGAATAAACTAGAGAATAATAAATGTAGATATTGCAAATGCACCAAGTCAAATATCGTACAAATAGTTTATGACGCAATTAATTTGTAGTCAAAATTAATATATAAATATGAAGAGAATTTTATTTTTTCACTTTTACTTTAAATAAATACGTACTAACTATTGAGAACTTTTACTGCTATATTGGGGCATTGGTGCTTAGATCTGTTATGTACATCTTTGGTCATTGTGGATCATACGTATTATCTGGTAAATTATTTATGTATTACTATCGCTAGTTTCAATATAATACTTTTATATTATATATTAACTATTTATTTTTTAACTAAATCTATATATTTTATTGATATATAATAATACTGTAATATAGAAAGAAAATTTTATTATTGCCTATTTATATGTATAACAATAAGAAAATAGCTATTTTAAAGTCAATATATAATATATATTTTATAAAATTACTACGTACGTACATAATATAATTAAAATTTACTTATTTGAAAAAATATTGTCAACACTATGACAATTTTTTTTAAAAAAATTAAATGCTCAAACATAGTAGATAAAAGATTTGTCCTTTTAACAGACATTATATTTCCAGCATCACTAAAAAGCCTCTCACTAGGTGTAGAGGCAGCTAAAATTGCTAAGTATTTTCATGCCAAATAAGATAAAACTAGAAAACGATTTTGATTACTTATTCACCATTCAAAGGGGCATTGGTCATAGGAAATTTATGGTATTCCAATATAGTCATAAACTTCATCTATTTGAGCATTATTTGATCGAAATATAGAGGCCAATAATTTACTTGTAGATGGTAATGGTTGTTTAATATGTGATATATTTGTTTGATTTTGATGTTGTTTATATACTTCTTGTAATGAATCGTAAGTTCTGGATTTTAAGGATTCTGAAGTAAAACTTAATGCTTTACATCGAGGATCGAGTAATGCAGCTAACATTCCTTCTTTTAAGGGCACTTCCCAATAATAGTTTATAGCATTATATAGAGCCGTTTTTACCCTTTCTTTAAAATTTGTACAATCTTAAGGAATATTTAGTTGTTTTTGAAGATTTATAGACTTGATATTATCTGTTTGATCTTCATTTAAATTAGTATCATCAAAAACACTTATATCATCTTTATAATTTACTTCCCGTAGTTCAAGATTATCAGTAAGTATAAGATTATTAGTTATTGTATTAATTGCACTATATATAAAGCTTACTGTTGTATATTTACTGCCTCCTAAAAGATCTGTTGCCTCGGCAAACGGTTCAAGAATTGCAATAAGACTTTTTATAGCTTCCCATTCAGTATCAGTAAGATTAATTTTTTTTAATTTTGTACCTTCTTTACGTGTTTGATAATTTTCATCCAAAGAAAGCGTTGTAATTAAAAGGTTAATTATATTTGAATTTTAATTAGTCGTTGCCAAGCAAGATAGAAAGAATTTCATCTTGTTGGCGTATCAGCAATTATACATAATTCATGATCATTTTGGGAAAGATTCTAATTAAAAAAAATAAATATTGAATTTTTTTTAATAAAATGTGAATTAGCATACAATATTAAATTTGATAAAAGCTTAATAACTTATATAAATGAATATTATACTTACGATATCTTCATTACATTTAAATTTTGTTTGGGCTTCCCAAAGATGCTGAGTTTGTTTAGGAAAAGTAAAATATAGCATAAGTCGTTTTGCTCTTGTAACTAACTTTTCTACTTCTAAAAGGCCTTTCTCCACAACTAACTGAAGCGTATGAGCTGTGCATGGTATACGTATAATATTAGGCATTAAATTTAATGCTTTAATCATATTACTACCATTGTCAGTAGTAATTGTAAATACTTTATTAGTAAGATTCCAGTTATTAATAATTGAGTTTAAAGTTTTGGCAATAATCTCGCCAATATGCGGATAAGAAAGATATTGAATGGAAAGTATATTTTCTTGTAATTGAAAATTACTATCTACATAAGAACAAGTAATGCCCAAATACCCTAATCTATTACGTCCGGTCCATAAATCACAGGTTAAAGAATATGAAATAATATTTTTTTCAAATATACTTAATAAGGATTGCTTGGTATTTTTATATGCTTCAGAAAGTAATTGTCAACAATATTTTTCACTTGGAAATATGTATGACAGATCAAATTCTGCAATAAAGTTTTTGAGGCCTTCATCATTTTGAATACTTATTGGTTGCTGATCTTTAATTAAAAGTTCAACAAATTTCTGATCTTTACGTCGCTTATGTTCAGGATTGCTATAAATTATTTGGTCAATTTTAAGTTGTGAAGATTGTGGTTTTTTTGTTTTTTTCTTATGAGAACTTTCAGTAATGCCATGTCGTGTTGCTAAGTGCCTGATATAATTTCCTGTTGAACTATCTACTGATCCCATAATATGTCCACATAATTCATTTTTATGATTTTTGTTAACTTCAACTAGACAACTTACAATTGTTCTATAAGGTAATACAGGTTCATAACGCTGATAATATGACCAAATCCAACTTCGTCCTGAATGCTTGGTAATAGAAACTAACTTTATTGCTTTTAGATTTGGTAAATTTAATATATTAGTAGGTTTGTTTGGTAAATTTGAAGATTTTTCATTAATCAGATTGTTATCCTTATCAGTTACAGTATCATTATTGCTATTAGCCAAGTTATAACACTCATTAGATGCATTATTGTCACTATCAACTAGATTATTGTATTCAGTTGAATTAAATTCATCAGATTGAGAGAATTCTAAGCTTGACATGTATGTATTGGACATTTTTTGTTTTTTATATTTTGTATCAAAACTTGCAGAATGAACAACAATATCTTCATCATTATCACTAATCATTTTTTTACTATAAAAATATGAAAAATTGATTTTGGATTCTTTGGTGACAATGTATCAATTCATATTATTTATATTTGAAATTTACTTTATTACAAAATTCGAACCTATCCTAATTTATTAAGTAATTCAAGGTTTTCGAGTATTGCTTGTACAGTATCAATCTTACTTTTAATTAAATTATTTAATCGATTTCTAAATTTAGATCTAATAACGAAACTAAAGCCATCAAATGATCAGATTTATCATAGATCTCAATCATAAAATTCTCTTTATATTATGTAATATTAATTTTTTATATGAAAACTTAAAGTTCTCACAGGTTTAACCTGACAATGCTTCTATAGATCAGATGCAAATAGACTCATAATATGATTAAATAGATTATACCACATGTTTATTGAATTTAGTATAATTATTATTGCATGGCAAAGTCTTTATTTAATAACAAAAAGTAAACATATGAAATAGAGATTCTCTATTCGTCAAAAAAAAGTAATATATGAAAATAGAGTTTCTCTATTCGTCTTAGTTATAATTTTGCATAGATAGAGAATCGACATTATGCTATACTTTGTTATGTGATTAGATAGAGATCAATAAGCGATCTTTGTAACTTTTATTGAAAGGTCATTAAGCCTCTAAACTGTTGAACAAATAGTAAATAGTGAAAAAAATACTAATCTGATTACAAAATAGTTCTCTAAATACCTTCCTATTCTTAACTAGCCATTTCTACTTCTTATTTTATTCTACTTACTAACTCATTTCTATAATAATAAAATATAGACAGGCTTTTTTAGCCAAATTCTTCTATACGTTATGAAGGGTAAAATGACTTGGCTGCAGCAAAAACGTGATCCAAGCCATATGACTTGAAATCTGAAATGCGCATTGATCAACAAAAGTGAAGGAATTTAATAAATGCCAATTCGGGTTTGGCTCGAGGCGAAGCTCCATTGAAGAACAATAGTAAGGCGCCTCCAGTATTCTAATGATTGGAACTAAAGTCATAGTTATTTAATGAGTATGAATTATTTATCATTAGTCATAGAACCCCCGATAAGTAAAATTAGTGATACATCCCCGTGATTACCTGCTTAAAGATTCGTGACATATTCTAGAGTCTTATTTGACCCTAATTATTCAGACCAAGTCTTTCTACGCCTCTTTTCGATACCTGTTGCTAAAAAGTGAAGAAATTTAATAAATGCCAATTCGGGTTTGGCTTGAGGCGAAGCTCCATTGAAGAACAATAGTAAGGCACCTCCAGTATTCTAATGATGGGAACTAAAGTCATAGCCATTCAATGAGTATGGATTATTCATCATTAGTTAGCACAGAGAATTAGCGATACATCTCCGTGATTACCTGCTTAAAGATTCGTGACATATTCTAAAGTCTTATTTGAACCTAATTATTCAGACCAAGTCTTTCTACACCTCTTTTCGATGCCTGCTGCCAAAAAGTGAAGGAATTTAATAAATGCCAATTCGGGTTTGGCTCGAGGTGAAGCTCCATTGAAGAACAATAGTAAGGTGCCTCCAGTATTCTAATGATGGGAACTAAAGTCATAGCCATTCAATGAGTATGAATTATTCATCGTTAGTTAGCGCAGAGAATTAGTGATACATCCCCGTGATTACCTACTTAGAGATTCGTGACGTCTTATTTGAACCTAATTATTCAGACCAAGTTTTTCTATGCCTCTTTTCGATGCCTGCTGCCAAAAAGTGAAGAAATTTAATAAATGCCAATTCAGGTTTGGCTCGAGGTGAAGCTCCATTGAAGAACAATAGTAAGGCGCCTCTAGTATTCTAATGATGGGAACTAAAGTCATAGTCATTCAATGAGTATGAATTATTCATCGTTAGTCATAGAACTCCCAATAAGTGAAATTAGCATAAATAATTAGTGATACATCCCATGATTATCTGCTTAGAGATTCGTGACGTATTCTAGATTTTATTTGACCTTTATTACCCAGACCAAGTCTTTCTACGCCTCTTTTTGATGCCTGCTGCTAAAAAGTGAAAGAATTTAATAAATGCCAATTCGGGTTTGGCTTGAAGAAAAGCTCATTAGAGAACAATAGTACGATGCCTCCGGTATTCCAATGATGGGAACTAAAGTCATAGTCATTCAACGGGAATGAATTATTCATCGTTAGTCATAGACTTCCCCGATAAGTAAAATTAGTGCAAAGAATTAGTGATACATCTTTGTGATTATCTACTTAGAGATTCGTGACGCATTCTAGAGTCTTATTTGACCCTAATTACTCAAACCAAGTCTTTCTATGCCTCTTTTCTATGCCGGCCACTATTAGGGTCTAGATATAGAGTCTTAGTGTAGTATTTAGTGGGGATAGTTAGTTGTTATTTGAGACCTGTATTTGAAATTCCAGAGCAGTTTCCCACTTCTACAACATACTCCACATGCTATCACAACCATTAAATATTTTACCCGAGATTATCTAATTGAATGCATTTACATAGTTTTAATTACATTCACATAAAAGGTTAAATTATCATAATTAAGAATGCATTCAAGCATCGCGATTTTCTAGTTGAATATTGCTTATGTAATTTTAACTATTCTTAAAATATTTTAAGAAAATTAATTACAATAGATATTAT